TTAAAATCTGTAACATAATATATTGTTTGGAGTTTAGTCTGTTACTGTTACTATTTTTACCATTTCTTTTTGGAGCAACTGTAACCCACGTTATTTCCTTAGGGATTAATAAAGTATTCTGATTCTGATTGTTTCAGGATGAGCTGCCATTATCCAGTGACACATCTGCTTACCTGTATCTTTTGCTCATTTCTCCTCCTCTTCTTTTCTATTTTTTCTAAACTGAGGACCTGATGGCTTTGAACTTTTCTTGTCCATCTTCCATTGGTTTTCATTTTGCATTCCAGTATGAACACCCATCCCCCAACCCGAGGTCACCACAACATAACCTAACACACCTACACCTTAGTTCACAGATTCGCTTTGTCAAGGGTTTATTTCTGGGATTTCACACAACCCAGGATTCAAATCATGAATACATAATGGGCTTGGATTTACAGCATTATGAATGAAATGTGCTCTATTTGGAAGCAGCTGCCCCCCTCCCCTTTCGACGGCTTGTGTGTGAGACTTTAAATCATCAAACTGTAAATTATAAATTTTAAATTGTTATTGATCCCTTTACCTCCTAAAGTGTATATTTATTTTCTTACTGTTCTTATATTTATTGTTTGTTCACTTGCACTGCTGTAACTGCAGCCTCGTCGTCTCGTCTCTCTATATCCAATCCAATCCAATTTTATCTATAAAGCACCTTAAAATACCCAGCACAGGAACAAAGTGCTGTACAGAAAATAAGTTAAAACAATAGAAAAACAGAAAACACCAAAATAAATAAATAAAACACATAAAACATAAAATAAAAACAGCCCAATATTAAAACAACAACAAGATAAAACAATATATACTGGACTGTATGTAGCGGAGATGACAATCAAGTTTACTTTGACTTCAGCAGCAAGCAGGCGCACCGAGGGCTCTCGCGCTCACTTTTTGCGTATAGAATTTTGAAAAAACATCGGTGCAAATTATGAATCTGTATCATAATATTGTTGGTTATTAGATGCTGCTCCAGCTAGCCAGAGAATCCTCTCCTGCCTGCGCCGCAAGCAGCAGGCGCACCTCGCAAACAAAGGGTACCCTTACTCCCAGCAAATGGGCGATAGAAAACTGATCGGTGCTTATGCCAATCCCAATATGCGCTGGTTGATGTCGGGGCAGCATGAGTACGAGCAATTTTTTATATATATATTTTTTGCCGATGCCCGTGATGCCGCCCCGGGCAACCGCCCGTGTCACCCAAATCAAAAACCGCTACTGCTTGGGACCAGTCGGCATCTTACATTCAAACAGTGGGTGACTGTAGCAAGATGCTAGCAACCAAAGTAATCAAAATGAGGTTGAACTTGTCCAGAAAGAAAGTGTGTGACTGAGGCACAAGACAGCGGCAAACTAAAGCTTTTATATACTCCAACAATATGGCTTTGAAAAGTTCAGGTGCTAAACTGGCCTGTCTTCAGTCCAAACCCTTCACTCATTAAAACAAACAAAAAAATAATAATATGCATGTTATAAAGGAAGCCCTGAACTGCTGAGCAGCTGAATTCGGTATCAATTTGCATCGTCAACATTTTGATCCACCGAGTTCCTAAACTGAGTTTTGTTGATAGAAGACCTGATGCAACATGCGGCAAACCTGACCTTGGTGGGAATTTACACATCGCTGCGTTAAAATTTAAAAAAATCATCACATTTCAAAAATAAAGAAACAAAGTTTACTGTTCCTATAACGACTTCTTGGTATTTTACACATGCTCCAATAGTTATTCAGATTGACTCCTTGCCGAGGCGTGAACAAAGGCCAGTTTTCCATCAGCCTAACCAGGGTCAGACCATTTTCATATTGTCAAGCGCAGTCTCCAAACACTCACTGTACCACTCACCTCAAACTAATTCCCTTAGTTACTATTCTACAGCTTATAATCTGCTCATTCTGTAACACAATTAAATTCCCAGAGACAATTACCATGCTTGTATTCACACAGCTGCACACATAGCCACAAACACGTGCACACTCACACACACACCCATAGCCAGGATAGTGCAATTCCCATCAGTAATCAGTGCAGCGCAGTGAAGCAGACTCAGCAAACCTGTGAGTGTAGTAATGGAGAGGGAGTGGTCTGTCTTTATTGAACCAATATAGAGTGAGAAAGGAAAGCCATAAAACACACACGGCATCATTTGTTTCTCCACTGACATCTAAAAGTAAAACTTTCAGACATTTTATATAAGCTCAGCTCATTTATCATTTCCTTGTGTCACCCAAAAACACCTCCAAGACTGCAACACCCCCCACCCTCCTATCCCATTTCATTCATGAATCTTTTTTTTTCCTACACCTGAGAAGAAATTTGAAATCCGCCACTTTTTCTTTCAGACTGCGAGTGCTACGGCCACTCCAATCGCTGCAGCTACATCGACTACCTGAACATCGTCACATGCGTCAGCTGCAAGCACAACACCAGGGGCCAGAACTGCCAACACTGCAGACTGGGATTCTACCGCAACGCCTCTGCCGAACTGGATGATGAGAGCGTCTGCATCGGTGAGTCTGCTGGGAAACGGGGAGAATATGTGGAGGGGGGTGGGCGCATCGGTACGACAGCAGTGGATGTATGTGTGTGTGTGTGTGTGTGTGTGTGTGTGTGTGTGTGTGACTGACAGTGAAACAGGTAAGAAGATCCATTAGGCGCGTTTAAATTTTCAAACAACAAGATGATGCATCTTAAGTTAAAAACAAAGTTACCAACACTTGGTGGTGTAGCAGTGAAATTTTAATGTGTAGTGTTTAATGCAAATGTTTTTTCAGCGGCACTTTTATAAAACATATTTGCCTATGTTTGATAGGACACGATAATTACGGGATTATAGTGCTGTCAGATTCAAGCTGTGTGCGTTTACATCCATATCAGAGAAAAAGTGAAGAAATAGCCTTGTTTTAGACACTTATTCTCAAACTGCAGGGAACATACAGTTCTAACAAAATCTTAAAGCCACTCTAATTGATAGGAACAAACAAAGCAAAGGATGATACGACTACTTCTGATGAAATCTCTGCTTGTTTCAGGGCTTTCTTGCCTTTCAGCGCGGTCTTAAGTAAGTGGAACAGTATACACAGGTGACTGATGTGGCCACTCAAGAAGTTTTTATTGCTTGGAAATCAAAGCTTTGTGTTTCTAAGGGCTTTTTCGCTACTATCTTAAAGCTTGGCGGACTACAGTTTGAATAAAAGAAGTCAGACACTGTTCAGCCAGTACTAATGCGAACACCCTCAGGCATCCTTTGAGCTAGAAGCCAACTCTTTAAACTCATATCATGTCTTCTGTTCTACCATACAAAGCCAAAACAATGAAGAACAGAAACTGTGGGATTATTTTATAACTGTACTGTAAAAAAAAGAATAGTTTTGTATTGTTATTTGCAGTGATATGCAGGATAATGTGTGTTTGTTTTAAAGTCAGTCACATTAAGGGCACGTCCTGATAAGAGGTCACTCTGTTTGCATAGCTGTGGAGCGGAAAATCTGGTGTTGATTTGGATCCATCTCTAGGTGGACTGCAGGGGGTTGGAGGGTAAACTCACTGCGGTCAGGGCACACACAGGGCCAGGCCTTGGAGTCAGCACAAATAAGGTCCCATTAGCTTATCTGCCAGCACCCTGGCACACCAAGTGTGGCAACAGAAATCAGTTCAAACTAGCATCTCTAGAGCAAGAAGCCAAACACTGTAAAATACAAATGTGTTTGCACTCAGTCTCCCCACACACATTCACAGATAAAAGCTCCCATACGTCAACCAATACTGATGCACATGACCCACAAACACAGGAATGCCAACCACAGCGCTGTGGTTGTCTTAATCTCAGACTTTTTCCCACTTCTATTAATTTTTAATGCTAAATTTTATAATAAATTACTAAAGGCGATCTCGGGTTTTCTCAAAAGACAAGCTATTGACTTACATCAAATTATGATAGAATCATCAGTTCATCATCAACTCACTGACAAATGTATCCTAAATACGCAGCTCTGCAGTTTGTGAACCTTTTATCTGCTGCCAGCTGTCACTGATCTCAATATTATTCAAGGATATATGGATTTGGAATCCTAATGACTAGTGGAAATAAAGCAATTTATTAAGAAAAAATAGTATTATGTTTAGTCTATACATATTAATATAGGGCGCCTGTGCACTGACTGACAGCTCTCACATCAGCTCAAGTGAAATGCACTAAATAGACAAATGAACTGAGAGTGTTTTAACCAAACTACAGCAGGCAGGGGAGACTTCACAGCACACTGTGTATGTGGAGTATTTTTGTGACTTTGCAGCTGTTTCTCCAGCACAGGCAGTTTGTAACCCAATTTAAAAACTACCTGATAATGGCATTGGGATCCATCCATCTTCTTCGGTTCATCTAATTCAGGGTCATAACTGGACTGGAGCCCAGCTGTCATAGGGCAAGAGGTGGGCTACACCCCGGACAGATTGCCAGTCTATCCCACAGAGGGAGAGAGACACAACAGCTATAGGCAATTTACAATTACCAGTTAACTTAATGTGCATGTCTTTGAACTATGGGAGGAAGCTGGATCACAGCCTGTAGATTCGAACCCAGGACCTTTTAGCTATGAGGCAGTGTTGCTAACCACCACACTACCATGCTCCCCGCATTAAAAACTCACACTTTAAGAAGGCTTCTAAAGTTGTTGAAAAATGCTTACCTGCAAGGGTCTTGTGCCATCCTTCAGTTCTTGATATTTTGCTTTCAAGGAGCCAGACATTCTTGTATTTCTTAAAGGTGTCTTCAGCACTAGTTCTCCAGGTTTTCTTACCCATTCGAGCATTTAAAAAGTTACCTAATTCAAGGGAAGAACCAGTGTAGTGTCTACACACAAAAGTTAGCAAAGAACCAAAAGAAACCATTTTAAATTGTATGTTTAGGCACTTTGTTACTAGCAGCCTGTCACAAAACCCCATCATTTGCTCCCATTACTTTAGTTAAATCTACAAATAATGCCAAAAATAATTTTTAAAAAAATATGCAAATAGATGAACACTTGGCATTTTTCAGCATGGTATGCAGTGTGTCTTTAAAAAGAATTGAGGAAACTGGACAAGTGGAGGCTAGAAGTAGAAGTGCCAGGCCTAAAAAAAACGATCTATAACAGATGAACAATATCTGAAAATCTTGTCTCTAACAAGTGGGGGGTGAGGATCCAGTAAAGACCTGCCGCAGGACCTGAGAGCTACATCTGGCCCCTCAGTTCATCCATCTACTGTTCAATGAAGCCTCATCAGAAATGGTCTCAGTGGAAGCTGTTAAGAAGCCATTCTTAAGGAAGAGAAACAGGGAGAAAAAGCTGAGACATGTGTAATTACACAAGAACCATTGAGAGGAGAGAAGAGAGGTGTAACAGTGAGTGTCTACAGCAACCTGCGAAACACAGTGGACGACCTGTCCTGGTTTCAGGCTGCTTTTCAGCCAGTGATGTTGAGGGTCTTGTCAAAATTGCTGGAATTATGAACACAAAAAAAGTACAGCGAACATCCAAAGGAGAGCTTTGAATGTCCTTCAAGAAGCCTGGAGAACTATTCCTGAAGACTACTACTAAGAACGTACAGGAAAGCTGCCTGAGAGAGCTCAGGCTATTTAGAGAGTAAAGGCGGTTGTACCAAATGTTGACATTTAGTCTCATTAGAATCGTACAAACTCTGTTTTTTCCTTCTATACTCATAATTATATACTGTGCATGTTAGCATATGCATTGAATTTGGAGACAAATCAGAAAATTTGTCTCCAAATTCAATTTGTGCTCTGCTGTTTTAGAATAAATGTTACCTGTGAGATGCCTTTGAAATCATAACAGTTTGGTAGCCCAGACAGGACTACATTGATCACATAATCATGGAGTTTTGCATGAAAAAAGAAAGTAAAGAAAAAACTACACTGAATGTTCAACAAGGTGATACACTGCAGGCTAAACACTAATATATTTCTGGGTGAAAAATTGCCTCAAATTCAGCCCTGAATGTCTTCAACGCTTGGACGTCTTTAGAGAAACTGCACCTCACATGCACAGAACCAGAGCTCTGAAGATGTTGAACATCAAACACAACTCAGTGGTCTGAATACAAATGTGTAGATTTTGAGCCAAACTCATTTCAAGTCTAGATTAACCCCGCCCCCACCCAAAAAGCAGAAAAAAAAATGAAATGAGACAAGCATTTATAACTGACTCGTTCTGCTCTTCTTCTCCACCCTTCTCTTCTTCCAGAGTGTAACTGCAACCAGATGGGCTCTGTTCATGACCGGTGTAACGGCACAGGTTTCTGTCAGTGTAAAGACGGGGCCACGGGGGCCAAATGTGACGACTGTCTGCCAGGATACTACTGGAAGCAAGGCTGTTACCGTGAGTATGGGGATACTGACTTTTGGTAGTTTAAAAAAATTTCGAGTTGAGGAAACGTTGCAGTCTTTCCAGGGCCTTTGCAAGTGCACCATCCATTTAGCTCGTGCAGCTCTGGATGTTGTCCGTTCTCACAGAGGAATAGATCACGTAGCTCATTAGTGACATCAGCCTCTTATTTAATTGATGACCCTGTCGCACCTTAACCCTATTATGGGGAAACGCCTTCATTATGCCATCTACCATCGAGCCATTGGCCTCAGTCTCAAGTAGACCCAACTACCCACACACACACACGCGCGCACACACACACACACAAAAACAAATGCATCTGTCTGTGAGTTTTTTATTACAATATGGAACATGCTGCACTAAAAGGCCGTGCAGTTTGTTTTAGCCGTGACATCTTACTCCAGATACTCCCAGGCAACAGAACCAATTATCTTTGGTGTAGTAAAAAAATGTTAGCACATGTAATTACTTCTTGTCACGGAAGCTAGATCCCGTTTCCCCTCAGAACATTTTTAGGTCAAGTATGTTATGTGGTACAGTTACCCAAGTACCTATGGTTCCCGACGATGCTCATTCTTCCAAAAGACTCCTGAACAAATAAAACACATGTTGTGTATTTTCTGCTGGATTTGATACAGTGATTCTGACCTCACCCTGAAAAAGTGCATGCTCAAGAAAAACAGTCAAAGAAAAGGGCTGCAATAACGAAAGAAAAAAAAAAGGCAGGTGTTACCTGTTGTAGTCCCCGAGGCAAAGACTGGAGAATTTATCTCGGCTCTTTCCTTCCTGCTCTTTCTTTTCTACTTTGTTCTTTCTGCCCTGGATTCCTCTCCTCCTCCCCGTTTCTGTTTCCTATCATGTTTTGTCTAACATTGCCCCTTCTATCATCCCCCACCTGTCTCCCTCTTTGCCATACATCTTTCCTTCGTCTTTGTGCTCTTTACTCCCCCACTATCCTTTTACCGCCTGTCATTCTGTCACTTCCCCGCATGCTCTTTATTCACAACTCGTCTCTCCCGTTCACCTTACCTCTGCAAATCCTTCACCCTCCATCCTCTACGCCACTTCCTCACTATGCTGCACTTTCTATTCTCACCTTTCTTTTCTTTTCTGCAGCTAACGTTTGTGACGAGGAAATGCTCCTGTGCCAGAACGGAGGAACGTGCTACCAGAACCTGAAGTGCATCTGTCCTCCAGAGTTCAAGGGGGTACTGTGCCAACATTCGCGCTGTGAGGCGGGCAAGGACTGCAGCGGCGCTTCTTTGCCGCACCCTTCCACGGCCACCCTGCTGCTCGGCACTCTGCTAACCTACCTGCTGGCCACATTAACGCCCCATTGAGCCACGAAAATCCTCCCCACCCCCCAACTCCGCCCACCCCCCTGCCTCACACCTAAAACATGTGTATATGAGCGTATTTGTGAGGCGACGGGTGACCCAAAATGGGAAGGGGTCGTCCCTGTAATGGACCCAACACTGCAGCACTCTTAAAAGCGCACACGCTCACCGATCACTACTCGACTCCCGTTCCCGTTTCAAACACACATGCGCACTTCACAGGACTGTAATGGCACTGGGTGTACACTCAGGTGTGCGAAGGACAAACAGAGAATAAATATGAGCAACCTCACAGAAAAAAGATGCAGGGGGGGGAAGAAAAATCATACCAACCACTGTTCCCTTTATTCCTAAGCTGGAGCAATGTGCATCAAACCAAAAAGCATAGACAAAAACTTAATCACCACTGTTTCACATCAAAGGGAATGGCTGTTGTTATCACAAGACTTTTCTTTTCTTTTTTTAAATTTCTTCTCTTTCTCGGTTGACTTGCGGATCTCACTTGCAACTGTCGTCGACGGCGTGCGGTCGGGCTCAGAGTGAGGACAAGGCATGTTGACAAGGGTCGAGCGGAGAGGCGCTTGTTTGATCCTATTGCTGAGGCCTACGTAGTATATTAACCAGGTTTCATTTTTTTCTCTTAATCTGAGACTTGATTTTACATTTATTCTATTCCTGCTGCATTTTTTTTCTAAAAAAATATATATATCTTCAGTCATTGTATCTAATGTGCCCACTAGCAGTTGCTGAGATTATACATATTATATAATATCCAGGGGGTTATGAATTATAATACATTAGTCACTATTATGGTTGTTATAGGAATGAGTGATTGTTGCCACACTTAGCGAGATTTAATCTTCACACAGTATTCAGGAAGAAGAATTTAACTAATCAGAAGTCTAAAAGAGAGAGAAAAGATATGAACCACGTATCGATATTATATGACATTATTTGAATATTTTTTGTAGAAATTATTTTTGTTTGGAGTTACAATAAATTATAAAAAAAAAAAGAAATACATTTACATCTATTCCAAAAAGAGCATTTTATTACACTGAGTCTAAACCTTGCAGTAAATATGACTGTTAATTTGCCTTCTTGATTGTACTTTTTTTCATTCAGTCGGTGT